TGTGTGTGTGTGTGTGTGTGTGTGTGTGTGTGTCTGTGTGTGTGTGTGTAAACGTTGGGTGAAATTGTCAAATGTGAGAGAAAATGAAGCCTGCCTGCCTAGTTTTGGTTTTTAGCCTGCATTTACAATGATAATGTAAAGTACAGGGTGGGTTTTTGAGCTTGATCTCTGCAAGGCATCCTTGCAGGGGCTGGAAAGGACCTTCCAAGCCATCTAGTTCATTCTTCCTTTCTCAGATCTCAAGTAAATTTAAAGCTGGAGTGATGCCAGAACTCACCTCCTGTTCAGGAGCTGGTATCCCTGTAATGGAAGGTGAAATGGAATGAAATTAATCTGCCCTCTTCCCACTCCCCATGTCTGGCAATTGAATTTTGACCCAGGTGTGAATATGTAATTCATTTTCTTTTCAATGACTGTCAGTTGAATTTTAGGAAGTTTGTTATTTAATAGGTTTTTGGGATATCTCCAGATAAAATCAAATGAATAAGCCACTCCTTTCTGTTTCTGTACCCAGAGGCCACATTCATTATAAACTCTGTCTATTGGGTCAGCCCAGCTCTAGCAGTTGAAACCTCGTGGTTAGTGCTTTGTTTCTCTGATGGCAGGGCTCAGCAAATAAGGGATAGGAGGTAGTGCAATCTGGCTGTTGGGCACCTTGTGTAACTCTGAGCCAGCCCTCATCTGGTCCTTTTGGGGAGCTGCCTCATAACAGGCTTCAGTGGAGAGTTAAAGGGCGCTTGTATCTTGGGATGGGAATAAAAATGTAAAAAGTAAAAGATAATGATTGCAGGATTAGCTGTGATTTCCTCCAGAAAACAGACTCTTTGGCTTTCATACTACAGAGCCCACTTATGCTCTAAGTGCAGTGGCTTTTCTAAATTAAAATGTAACTGATATTGTGCACTGTTCTGGGGTTTACAGGCTAGTGATCTGAACTTACCTATGAAGCAAATAGTATTAAATAATAAATAGAGTTGTAAGACACCTAGATGAATGTAATATTGGGGGGGGAGAGGAAACCAGCATGGCTTTTCTAAAGGAAAATTGTGCCTCTCTAATCTGTTAGTATTCAACACAGTAAAGCATTTTCAGTTACATAATTGGCTGAGCGAAATGAGACCTAACACAACTCCGATATTGCCCTGTTTGTCTGTAAGGTGATCATTTTTGGAGACCATATGCAATCAGTTCCAGAACTTCAGGGAGTGTTCCTGGCATCAGTGGAAAGAATCTTTTATTCATTTTTGGTGGTGATCAGAAAGCCAAAAAAGCCTGATTCCACTGAAAGCAGGTGTAGTTGTGACCTCAGATGCCTATCAGCCAATCACGCTGCGGAGCTGGGTGCTGAGTAAAGGGAGACTAGGGCAGTGTTTTTCAAACGGCAGGTCGCGACTCAGTAGTGGGTTGCGGAATGTAAGGCACTGCGTGGTGGTGGCTCTGGTCAGCACAGCACTGCTGACCAGGCCGTTACAATTCCCATGGGTGGTGCTGCCAGGCTAAGGCAGGCTAGTCCCTGCCTGTTCTGACTCTGCGCTGTGCCCCGGAAGCGGCCAGCAGCAGGTCTGGCTCCTGGGGGGAGGGCACGGGGCTCTGTGTGCTGTCCCTGCCCTGAGCACCGGCTCCGGGGGGAGGAGGGGGCGAGGGTGGGGGTGCCTGTGGGCGAAAGCCGCACGGAGCAGCTTGTGCGCCTCCATCTAGGAGCCAGACCTGCTGCTGGTTGCTTCCGGGGCGCAGTGAAGTCCGTGGTGTCAGGACAGGCAGGAAGCCTGCCTTAGCACCCCTGCTGCGCCCTTGCCTGAGGTAACCCCGCACCCCAATCCCCTGTCCCAGCCCTGAGCCCCCCATATTGGAGCCCCTTCCTGCACCCCAAACCCTTCATCTCCAGCCCCACCCCAGAGCCCTGACCCGCTCCTGCACCCCAACCCCCTGCCCCAGCCCTGAGCCCCTCCCGCATCCCAAACCCCTCATCCCCAGCTCCGTTGGGTTGTGGATATCAACAATTTTCTTCAACTGGGTCGCCAGAAAAAAAAGTTTGAAAACCACTGGACTAGGGAAGCGGGGGCTATGGAGTTGGGGGGATGGGAAGATGTGACACAAGGTTGGGGTAGAGCTAGTTGGAAACTCTCCTATGGAATGTTTTCTGTCAGAAAATGCTGATTCATCAAAATCGACACATTCTGTGGGTATATGCTGATTTCAACAAAATTTTACTTGAAATTATGTAGGTTGGCTGATCCTGCCTGTCAGCTAGCCAGCCAACCTACCAACCGGGAGCTGTTGGTATGGGCCATGAGTTTGGTCTACAGAAGCAGTGAAGTGAGAGAGTGTCTAGTTCATTTAGATTTTCAAAAAGTTTTTGACAAAGTCCTGGGCTGCTAAGGAAACTAAGTAGTCACAGAGTCAAAGATAAGGGTCTGTTGTGAATTGACTAAAAAACAGAATAGAAATCATCCATCAATTTTCAGGATGGTAAAAGGTTTGGGGGACTACAAATATCCATGTTTAATATAGTTATCCATGATCTACAAAAGTGGGAGAGGTGAGCAATGAGGTGGCAAAATTTGAAGAGGCCATAAAATTATTTAGAATAGCCAACACTAGAGAAGGTCGAAGACCAAAGCTAGGCAAATTGGTAGCACAAGGACAGATGAAATTCACTCGTGACAAATGCAAGGTAACATGCATTGGAAGGAATAATTTGTACTATCATATTACTGGGTACTAAATTAGCAGTAAGATCTCAGGGAAAAGATGTGGGCAGCATTGTGGACAGCTCTTTAAAATCCTCTTTCTTGTGTATTGGTGATTAAAAAGGGAACAGACTGTTACGGTGAGTAAAGCATGTGATAGAAAACATAATCCCATGTTATTCTATGCAAGCCCATTTATTAACAAATCTATAGGATGCCATCACCTGAAATGTGTGTGTTCATCTTTGGTCATCCTATCTTATAGGAAAGCAGTAACAGGAGAAGAAGGGACCCAGAGACAGGTGGTAGACAAGATTCAAGGGTTGTGGTATAAGGAAATATATTAAAAAAACTGTTTTTGGGTCTTTATCATTATTTTAAATACCTCATTATTAGGTTTATCATTATTTTAAATACCTCTACTGAGATAGAGGTATTTAAAATAATGCACGGTGCAGAGGAGATGCATCGGGCATTCCTAATCACCAATTCTTATAGAAGAGCAAAATGTTATTCAATCAAATTGAAAATCAACACATTAAAACCAATAAGAGGAAATACTTTCTTTGCACAATGTACAATTAACCTGTGGAACTCACTGCCACAATATATTAAATCCTGTGATATTTTTTTTTGGACTCGATAAAGTCATTTAATACATAAATAACAAAAACCTTTACAATCATAAAAATAGAGATCTGGGGGGACCTCAAGTGGTCATCTAGTCCGTTTTCCCCTACAGTGAGGCAGGACCAAATATTCTTAGTCCATCTCTGAAGGTGTCTGTCTAACCTGTTCTTAAATACCTCCACTGTTGGAGATGGCACAACCTCCCTTGGTACCTGTTCCAGTGCTTAACTGTACTTACAGTTTTGAAAGTTTTTCCTGATATCTAACCAAAATCTCCATTGCTGCAAACTGAGCCAATTACTTCGTGCCCTACCTTCTGTTCATATAGAGGGCAGCTGATCACCATCCTCATTATAACAGTCCTTAATGACTTTGAAGATGGTTATCATCTCTGCCTTCATTCTTCTTTTCTCTAGTCTAAACGTGCCTGTTCTTTCAACCATTCCTCAAAGGTCAGGTTTTCTAAATCTTTGATCATTTTGAAGCTCTCCTTGGGACTCTTTCCAGTTTCTTGACTGCTTTCTTAAAATATGGTACCGAAAACTGGACAGAGCACTCCAGGTGAGGCCTCACTAATGTTGTGCAGAACAGAACAGTTACCTCCTGTGTCTTGCATAGGTTGCGCCTGTTAATACATTACATTACATACAGTTACGTCAGACAGGAAAAAAATACAAGGGCTGTAAACTCTCATGACTGAAGGATAGAAGTCTAATGATGAAGGTTAGGAAGAAACTTCCTTTAAGGGCAGCTTACTACGTCAGTATCCATGATGGGGTTTCTAGCTCCTTCCTAACTGGCCCCTGTTGCTGCCCGTATATGGGACTAGCAATGTGTACCTTCATGTATGTAGAGCCCTACTGTAAATCAGGAGCGGCAGAAGGTCCCTAAAAGTGTGTGTGTGGGGGGGGGCACTAACGCCTAAGCCACGGCCCTGTTCCTATACTGCCCCTTCCCCCGAGGTTCCCCCCCCCCACTCCCACGCCACCTCTTCACCCCCCAAGACCGCGCCACCCACTCACTCCTCTTCGTCCCTCCCCCCTGTTGCTCGCCTTTACAGCTGTTAAAAAGTAGGAGGGCATAGCCCCCTGGTCCCCTCTGTTCTGGCACCCCTGCTGTAAACCCCTACAAACAGAGCACTACTGAGTAATGAAACTTCTGTTGAGTTACTGAGAGAAGCAAGAGTTTCATTTTCTGTAGGCCAGGCATGTCCCCTCCCTTCGTGGTCAGTGCTGCAGCTGGTTTGTTTTGATTCCAGTTCTCGCTGTCTCCTGTACTTTGATTGATCGCAGAAGTATTCAGTGAACTGTGTTCCTTTTTCTTTGCTGCTGTTTTAAATTTGTAAGTGGTTATGTTGCACAGACCTTATAATAATCTCTCTATTAACCCCTTCCAGCCCACGACCTTCCCCAGAACAAGACCTCAGCTGCGGCGCAGACTGGCAGCCATTTGCAATGCCTCTCAGTCCACTGCACGGATGACATGGGCGAGTCGAAGGGCCGGACTGCGGTGCCGACATGGAGATCCCTGCACTCAGACATCTCCAACAGATTTGGGACTTTTGTGGCTGCCCTGACTTGAACAAAAGGAAATTATTTTTTTCTCTTTTTAATTTTAAAGGGCCGCTACTGCTAGGTGGACTATTTTTCTAGGTTGGTACCTGCTTAGTGGCATATGGACTGGAAAGGGTTAATTTAAAGTAAACCTCAATTTTTTTAATCTTCTGCCACAGTATGTTACCAGTGTTAACCCTTCTGCAGTTAGCACACTTTTGCTTAAAATTTTCCTGCTAGATCATTTCCCCCATTATTCTGTAATCTTGGCAAACATTTATAGATGAGGCCTTTTCCTTTTTCATCTCAACGTATGTCCAAGTAGTGTGTGTCATAAGACAGATACTTCTCCTTTCGTTTTTTCTTTTCTTTTTTTTTGCCCCCTTTTTTTTCCGCTTTGTTCAGTGCTTATTAAAATGGAAATCCTGAAGAATAGCAGTTCAGGAATAAATGCCGGTTGAAGTGAAATTGTCATCATATTCTATATTGACACCAAGCTTTCGTCAGTCACATACAAACCAAACAATTAATGCTCTATTAAGTATTCAGCCTGTGATTTTTGTCTTTCCTGAGATAATTTATTTTTTGTTATCAAGAATACATTCAGCCTTCATCTCTTGCTGTTAAGTGGAAACAACTATTCAGTTTATTTGCTGACTTGAAGCCCAGATATAGTGTTATTCTGAACAATAGGACCTGTAGCGGTGAAGCCTGGTTGACCAAACACGTTTAAAAAATGTGAAACTGCCAGTTAAAGCATTGTAATCCCTTCTCCACCAAGGACCAAGATTTGAGTGGAATTCCTCCCACCCGTCTCTCTTACTGGGGACACACGGGGAGTGCAGATCACCTCTAGGACACAGTGTGTATCTAAAGTCCCCACATCTTTAATTTTGCTCCCAGAAGAAGGGAAGTTTAAATACCACGTTATCTCTATAACTGTTGAAGCAGGGGCTTCTTTTAAGGAAAATCACATACCAAACCCCCTTTGTACTGTGCTCTTCCTGGGAAACAACTTCCTGGTTACAGGAATGTAAAAAAGCTCTGATTCCTTGACATGAGGAACTCCCCTGTGCTAGGCTAAATTTAAATCAGCCATCCAGCTATTACTTGGGCCATGTCTACACTACCACTTATGTCAGCAAAACTTATGTCGCTCAGAGGTGTGAAAAAAACACCCCCTGGATGACATAAGTTTTGCCAGCATAAGTGACAGTGTGCACAGCGTGACGTCAGTGGGAGAGCTTCCCCTGCGACACAGTTACCACTGCTTGTTGGGGGTGGTTTAGTTACGTTGACAGGAGAGCTCTCTACCCTCAGCACAGAGTAGGTATGTAGGAGATCTTACAGTGGCACAGATAAGGTTGCCATCTTTCTAATTGCTGGTAACTGGACCCTCGAGGCCCAGCCCCCTTCTCTGCCTCTCCACTCCCCCCCCCAAAAGATACCTCCCTCCGTTGGATCATCTCCACCTCCCACCCCACCCACCAGCTAGACTCCCTCTGCTCCGGGGCTGGGACGGGAGCTGCTGCAGCCTGACACGGAGCCTGTCTGCAGGTAGGAATGGCCCCAGCTGAGCAGGGGCTGGCAGGGGTTAATAACTCGACACCTCCCCTCACCCTGCGGTAACCGGATTTTTGGTGTCTGGTCAATACATCTGACCAGGCGCTGCCAGGTCCCTTTTTCAGCCAGACTTTCCGGTTGAAAACCAGGCACCTAGCAACCAGGCACAGAAGCCAAAAACCGGACTGCCTGTGTAAAACCCGGGTGGATGGCAACCTTAGCACCGTTGCATCGATACAGCTGTGCCACTGTGAGCTCTCTAGTGTAGATCTAGCCTTACACTTACCAAAGGAGTCACAAGTCAGCACTGAAGCAAAGGCGTTATTTTTGGGCTAAAGAAGAAGGTACCTCAGATTGCTGGTAAAGCTTTTAGTATAGCGGCGTGTGCCCTTTTTCCACAGCAGGGCTTTGGTGCCATTACTTGAAGTGCCACCCTTTAATGTATGTCACTGAGAATGTTGAATGTGTGAGATCAGGCATTTTCAGGAGTGGAACCAAGCATGAAGCTGGGAAATTTGGTACATATCAGTACGTACTGATGGGTATCCTTTTCATTCTAGCCAGTCCCCACATTTGTGCACCTGTGAGTCAGAGATTAGCATTCTCTAAACTGCCAGGGTGCTGGTAGAGCCTAAAGTAGATCACATAATTCCTGCTGGTAAAGACAGTTTCTATTTGACATTTGTCGTGTTTGAAGGACAGTATTATTAGATACATACAATAAAAGGAAACCATTCTTTCCTGCTCTTCACAGATAATACTCATTAGGACAGAAAGCTGGAAACAAATGAGCTAAAAACAAAAATTAAAAGATGATTGGACACTGGTGTGGTTTTACATAACGCTATCTATAATTTGTGTAGCCTCTGCTTACAGTAAGACGAAACGGTCCCACCCTTGTTCAGATGTGTTCAGTCCAGTGCTGCTGGAACAGTTTTTATAGTGGGGGTGCTGAAGGTGGAAACCATGTATTTGGGTGGTTGTTACTGTTTCAAGCCAGGGGGTGTGGCAGCACCCCTACTTCCAGCACCCATGACTCAGTCTCCTCCACTCTTTGCGGTTACTAGGAACATTGGAGGATTAGATCATAGCTGTGAAATAAAGGACTGAAACGCCATGGTTATTTATCACTTGTTTCATGGATTCAGAGTGTGCCCCTTTTTGAGAGTTGCTGTTCAGAGTTCTGTCTTGAATTTATCTTGGATGGTCGCATTGGGCCATCGCTTTTTAAGCGGAGTTCTGTATTGACACCACTGGGGAGGGAATTGTGCTTAAAAACTCATGGTACATTGTGGTTCTGAAATCTTTCAATCATGCTGTTTCAAAACTCTCAACATTTTAAATGAAGTTACAGATGGTATTTAACTTGTCACGTTCTCCCTGCTCTCTTATTTGGAACAAGCTCTCATTGGCCTTATGTGGATTTATTTTCCTGTTGTGTCACTGCTCACTGAGTTGACTTGGGTAAAATTTTTTTTTTAAACTAGGAAATTATAATAAGAGTCCTTGAGTTTTAGTTGGTCTTTTGTTTCAGAATTTAAAAAACATCCCTGATTTTGAGAAGCTTTTTAATTTTTTTTTTTTTTTTTTTAAGATTTTATTGACGCTGGAACGGTTACTGGAATATCGAGTTTGCCCCTGCTATAATTCGGTGAATATGGAGTTAGCTTGTATTCCTGGGTCTAGAACAAAAAGGCATGACACTTGGCTGGATCCAGATGAAAGGCTCAAATCTTCTGCCCTTCACCTACTCTAAATAACATTGTCTGAGGTAATATATCTCCTGATGTAACAATTGTTACCCAGCCTCACTTTGGAGAACACGCCCCAACCCAAGAAAGCACAGTTTCTTAGGTCCCAGTTCAGCAGAGTGCTTACGTATGTGCTTAATTTTAAATGTAAGTAATTCCATCTCTAGTCATCAAAGCACTTACGCATGTGCTTTCCTTGAGGCACGTGTTTCTCTCGTTAGCTTTAATGGAATTTAAACCAAGTTTTTTAAAAAAATTAGTAGGAGTGGGAGGAAACTTGGTTCTGTCTCTGGAACTACCTGTTTATTTATCAAAACTGTTCGGACAATACTACAGATCTGTTTAACCTTTTTGGTAGCTTTGTTCCATCCGCCATGTCTCCCTGACTTGTAAATGGCTTATTCTCACCTTAACTGAGGGACAGAATGCCAGATGCCTAATAGTAATCATTGAGGTGATACCAGCACATTGGAGTGGGATTTCAGGGTGCCTATTTGCAAAATTCTGGTGGAATAAGGTGTATGCATTTACTCACCAGGTCAATGTTTATTACCAAGCTTTTGTTACCTGTGATAAGTTTCCTGTCCAGCTTCTCCATTGATTTGATAAGCGCACTGTTTTTTTTTAAACATGTATGAAATATCAGCAGAGCACTAGATTATAAAAAAGGTTTAGTTTCTGGAATAATGATACTTGTCTTCATTTTTAGACTGCTTTGAGAGCTATAGATGAAAAATGCGGTGTGAGAGCTAAGTATCACTATATCCCCATTTTACAGGGCAGGAAAGCTACGGGGGGGAAGTGACTTGAGATGACTCCCAGAACTGGTACTATAACACTCCTGACTCCTAGTCCAGTGTCATACCCATTGGCCTATCTGCTTCTTCAGTATAATTTTAAAACTCCTGCCTTTGAGGTCAGTCTAATCCAATAAGTAATGAAATTCAGTGAATTGCAAATGCTGCAAAAGTGACTGCATAAAGACAAAAAAAAAGTTTAAAGTGCATCTGCATATTTTGAAAGACTTCATGGGGGTGAAAACATGGCACTAAAAAGCCAGTAGTTTTATGGTAAATATGCATTGATCATGTGTACAAGTTTCATTTTGTGTTGCAAATAGCAGCTCAAAATAATATGGCTTCATATTTGTACTGCAGTGTCCACTTTGACCTGCCTGGCATTTTCAGTTGCTGTACACAGGCACGTAGTCTAGGCAGCAGTCTAAGCAGCATTTTAGAAATTAAATCTTTTAGTTCCTACCCCTTGAGGGTAAATTTCTCCCTGCACAGTGTTTGCTGACTCTTTTGATATGTGTTAAAAGAAATGTCATACTTACACTTCGAGTTTGAGCAAGTAGCATATTGAGCAAAATACCTTTCTTTGGTTTAAGTTATGGGGAGTGATGAGTCATCTTTGTCAAAAAAGAATGAATAGGCCTTATTTATTAAATGCTCTTTGGGAGTTTTCCCCAGGTCATGTTCTCATAGGGTTAATATTTCTCCGTTACTATAGTTCAGTTGTTAGCTCTTTAGTGACACACATAACAATTTAGATTCATTTTCATTTAATTAAGGTGAATTTCAGCAAATGTGGAATGATTTCAGGATTAATGTGGTATGGTAGGTGGAAGGGAAATAAAAATGAAAATTTTGTCATCTACTTCATTTAGCGAACTCCTTCGAATGCTGTATTTAGAGGTGGTCGTTATAAGGCCAGTTAACCTTTCCAACCAGGAAATCAGTTTGAAGGCTTTCTAGCACAACACTAAGACTAAATGTTCATTAACTCCTTAATGAAGAACTGTGTAATATGACCACAAGTCTATCTGCTGTAGAGCAAGTCATGTTTGCTCTAATACTAAGAAGAAATAGAATTGGTAAATTTGATTTTTTATTTTTTTTTTTAAAAAGCTGCAGTGTACCCTTTTCTTGAATTCTAGACTCACAGCTGTTCAGTGGATGGGGGTGTAAGAGCTTAATCCATTGTTATAGAATTGTTTCTCCTTTATTGCTTAAGGCTAATGGAGGAAATAGTCTAATTTTGTCTTAGAATTTCTCTATTAAAATTGTTGGTTTGAGTCCATCCGTTCATAGATTTTGACTGATGAAACTGCAGGCTGCGAATTCCGGCAGTTAGAACTTGATCACTATTCACGACCCAAGAATATTACAGCTTTAAAACAGCCTTAAGCAAAAGGATGTTATTTCTTTGTACTAAATTTGGTTCATGGATAAGAAAAAAAAATCATAACACTGGTAATCCGTACTGCATAGCAAACTCTTCTGAAAAATGTTATTGCACATGTAAAATATGAAAACTTGACTCTGCTGTGTGTTAGGCAATCCTGTAATCTTTTTTTCTCTCTTGTTAAATTCATTTCTTAAATGCTTGGTTGGAAGACTGTGACAATAGCTCATGAAATTGAGTGTTATTTTTCTTTCTTTTTTTAAATATGTAAAGTGCAGTCTTCTGTATTCATGCATATTGTATATATCTGTATATGTTTTACTGAGCAACTAAATAACAATAAATATGATGTTAATGGTGGCTATTGTATATTTCATGCAATGTTTTACAATTATTTGAATAGAGTCTTTCCTGAGATTCTTGGATACAGTGAAATGATGCAGTTCAGACCTTGAGAGAGTGAAATCTTTGCCCTGTTGAAGTCAGTAGTTTTGCCATTGACTTCATTAGAGCTAGGATTTCCCCCTGCCTGCCAGATACCCGTTTGTTTTTTTGGGGTGAAACTTGCTTCTATGTGGAGGCAGGACGAGATGGTGCTGAGGCCACATGCTGCTCTCTGGACGGGGTGAATTTCTCCTTGGTGAGTCTTGCTACACTTGACAAAATACACAGCAAGTTTCCTTCTGTTCACATACTAACGTTACCTTCTTTTATTCTTCAGCAAGATGTCAGTGCATATAAATCCTTGTTACAGTTCCTTAGCACAAATCTTGTGCTTCTATTGCAATTCTAAGGATCTTTGATTCTTTTATATCTGATGTGTCATATTGGACATACAATTTAGCACAGGTTAGGGCTAAATTGGATGATTATATCTTAGGAAAGTGTTTGTTTTTAACCTTTATAATATCTTTCCTGATGTCCCAGGGAGTAGTTCTTTGGCTGGAGCACATTGACAAGCATGGCATAGACTACTAAATCCACAATAAAGATGGCTTGTACAGGAAAAAAATATAAATTTAAGTAATATCAAGTCTTAATTTCCCTGTTTTCCAAGGGCTTCCTTGGAGGACCAGAGAACTGAAGTTCTCTCAGTCAGAGGAGCAGGCGTGCTGGATTTTTCACAAACCTAGCTTTTTCTCCAAGTGTTTCTCAGGATTTTGAATGAAACTGGTGGAAGCAAAAAAGCAAGACAGACCAGAATTCTAAATGTATGATCAAAATCTCTTCTTCTCTCAGTTGTTCAGGTTTAAACACTTTTATGCTACTACATTCCTATTAGTCTTCCAAAGAATTCTCCAGCAAAAACAGAGTCAATACCTGATATTTTCTAATGTGGAAAACAAGCAAAAACCCATGCAAGCCCCATAAATATATAATTGGGATGGGGAACAACTTTTTACATCTTTATACTCATAGCAAAGCAACAACAACAAAAAAGTGCAACCAAATTTTTTTTCTGTTTGGGAGTACCTTTAAGAGTGAACTTTGGATGATGCTGGAGACAACTCCACAATTTTCTCCAATTAGCAGCTTAAAAACTCCGAATTGCAGTTTTTGGTGAGCAAGTGTGACAGGAGGAACCAGCTACTATGAGCTACCATACTATGCCTATGTCATAACAGGATCTCTTTATGCTTCATTAGGTAACTAGTAACTCCAACATAATGCATCTGAGTATCTCTATAACTAAACTACCAATATAGTGTGTCCCATAGAAGGCCCTCTAGATTTTTCATAATCACCTCCTGTTGTTTTCTTTAAACCAAAGTTCTGTCGAAAATGCAAGACCCTCAGCTCAAGTAGAATAGAAAAATATAAAATTGTTTTGAGACCCTCTTCAAGCCAGTGTAGTGAGAATGCTTTACTTCCTTTTAAAATCTTGCTTGAGTCACTAAATGGATAAAGAACAGTGTATGATATATACATGTCATTTACCTGCAAAGATGTGATCATCTCTCATTGGTTAGATCCAGGAATCAACAGGGAGGGGAAATTTTTAATATTACCTGTAAAGACCTCACTATCTTTACAATACTGTGTTATGTTAAATCTGGTAATTATGCTTTAAATAGTTTGTAACTGATCTCTTAAAAATCTTGTTCATTTTTATTTTTTGAAACCCTGTTAAGGTGTGAATTTTAATATTCTTCATGACTCTATGGACTCGTACTTCTTGCCATGACAAGTACTGTCAAGTACAAGACTGAAGGTCCAGGGAAAACATGCAAAGTGGTGATTCAAAAGCACACCTTTTACTTCCATGGTTTTATTAAGATTTTAGTTAATGTGGTTTTAATTTTCTGGTTCATTTGCAGTCTTGAGAGAGAACTCTAGGCAAAGTTCCTGGAGTTCTTTCCTTAAAGATGAAATGAACATAGGATGAAATCCATCATCTTATACTACCTACATTTTCTCCACGGAACCAGATTAAAAAGGTGGATCTGCTGAGCTGCTCCTACAAGCTGTCTGCTCCTTTTTTCTCTGAAGTCCTTGCTCTGTATAGTCATAGGTTCTAAGACTAAACCCCACACACAGACAAGCCCATTTAATCTGCAGATTTTCAAGTTAATCTGCTTTGAAAACATGTGTATGCACGAGGCAGTTCCTTGTAGTTCTGACTCTGCGTATATTGTGAATTCAGGAGTCCACTTTCAAGGTGAGCTAGCTTTGGTGTGAAATGAGTTAGTTTGGTCTGTTGTTCAAACGTGTGCACTCCATGTCTGCCATGCTGAAGATGCTGAACACTAGGAAGATCTAGTGATCTCCTAGAACCTTTTTGAGTAAGGTCATTTTCAGCCTCCTAATCGCCTGCCTGACTGCAATGGCACCTAGAGCCAGGTGAGTCTAACGGAGATGCAGAGAGGATTACATCCAGCTCACCCAAGATTTACTCAGCTAGCCCCTCAGACACCATATAGGCACCTCCAAGCAAACCTGCAATGCCAGACTAGGAACTTAATTCCCAATCCTTCCCCCCCTCAGCCTCCAACACACAACAGCTATATCACCCAGCACGTACCACCTGGTCAGAAATCCCAGCGCACACATCACTGATCATCGCCAAGGTTCCCCCAAGACTGGGAAGATTCTCAGGGAGATAAAGCCAGAAATGCACATTAAAAAAATGCTATGGAAGCCGCCCTGCAATAGGAACAATAACCACTTGTCATTTTTCAAAATACCCACCAGTTATGGCGCTTGCACTGGTCAGTCCCTTAAGGAGATGGCCCTTCTCCACAGCCGCGCATCTGGGACACCTGAAGGGGAGAAAATGGAAAACTGAGGATGAAATGTTCCTGGCCATTGTTGCAGAGTGCCAACTCCCCCACCCCTCCAAAAAAAAAAATAGGGAGAAGTGGAGGGAGTATCTGAGGGGAAATCTGAGAAGGAGCTTTCTAGGGAGATTGTTGCGGGGGCTGAGGACAGCATGGCAGTTGCCAGGGACTCTGTTTTGCCATGGCCAAAGACAATATGAAAAAAGACTGGGAGATGCAGAGACAGCTCCTGGAGGCCACTCTCCCTTCCCAGAACCGTTCTCAGGGAACTGAGAACACAGAGCTGACACCCCAACTCTTTGGAGCCTGCTATTCCCTTGTAACTTTGAGCCTTGGCACTCCACACCAGTAGTCCCATGAACCAGAAGCGGTGGAGCCAAGACACATTCTCCCCTGTGCCTGTAAAAGCCCTTCTCCACTGGTTTTGTGCCATTCACGGCACTGTTGAACTTCACTGTTTCGTTTCACTGCTGGTTTAATTTAAGGCTCCATATAGTTTAATATATTGTTTCATAATTAAAAGCCATTTATTCATTTTTGTTTCAGTTGAAGGTCCATTTCTGGTTGTTACATGATAGTGTTTAATAATAACCTTTTCAAATTTCATTCATAAGTAGTCAACAATTCATTTTACGCAGAAAATAATTTTGTGCTAATTCATGATGTTTTGCAAACACAGGTAGGCAAAGACCTGCTGCTAGAGGGGTGGCCATAGCATTACACGTTCGCTGCCGATAACGCCTGAACTACACAAAAATCTTCCAACCCACCTGGTTAACAACTGGATGCACAGCTGCACAATTTCAGGCCTGAAACTCAAAATAAGAGCAACAGGCACCCTGGACAATATTGCCTGACTGTTTGCATTTTGTGTTGGTTGCCTTGCTGGCTGCTCAAACTGCTGAGCAAGTCTCTGCATTGCACCCTCCCGCCCCTCGCTAAGACTTTCTCCCGTACTCTCACAAATATCGTGCAAAATACAACATGCTGCTATAATCTGCGATTTCCCCCCCCTACTACTTCCAAGCTAGCCTATAAACAGCACCATGTCCCTTCTCAAATGGGCAAATGCACACTCTGCAACTACTGAGGTGGTGGTTACAGTTCCTTTCTTCTGTCCAAAAGCCTGTGAATGGCTTCATTAGCCAGGTCTCCCAGGATAACTGGACTGACGTCTAGGCCATTAATGGCCACAGTATTCCGGGGGCAAACAGCCCTTTCTTCATTAATTTAAATACAGTTGAGTGCCCAAAGATCCTAGCATCAGCTACTGTTCCAGACCACCCAGCATGTACGTCTGTAATCCTGCCACAGTGGTCAACCAGTCCTTGGAGCACCATGGAGAAATACAGGTTTCAGAGTAGCAGCCGTGTTAGTCTGTATCCACAAAAAGAAGAACAGGAGTACTTGTGGCACCTTAGAGACTAACAAATTTATTAGAGCATAAGCTTTCGTGGACTACAGCCCACTTCTTCGGATGCATATTTGGATGGAGAAATACCTCATTCTGAGCCCTGATTGAAGGGCACATGGGTCCCATCAATTGCCCCAGCACTATTTGTGAATCCTATAGGTGCAGTGTCCTCAGTAACTTGAACATTACCAGGCTTTATAATGCAGTGCATCAGTACCTTTTCCCATGGCATCACACCTCCGCATGCCAATGGCCCTAGTGGTCAATCTCCCCACACTTAATTAGTTGGTTATGGACCTGTAGCATTTGGGGGTGGCAATTGCAACCTGTTTGCCCAGGGTTTAGGGCACCACATGCTGGTATGCAGCACCTCCTGGGGATAGGGCACTGCATGCCTCTGTAGTTCCGGGGTTCAGCACATATTTCCGAAAAGGTTGCTTTCTGTATGCTGAAATTGTTTTGCCACTGCTGGTCATCCCAGTGTGCAGAACAATCCATTCCCATGAATCTGTGCTGGTTTCCCAGGCCCAGAAACAAGTCCCTCTGCATGCTGTGAAGCTGCTGCAGGAACTGGTCGTCTACTTTAACATGCTCAGGGTCTTCTGCTTCTTCCATCTCCTGGTTCTGCTGCTGCTGAAGACCCTGCTGCTGCTGCCGCCACATCATCT